AGACTTCTGAGAAGTCTCCCACAGCTTTCCTCTTGGTTCCTGCTTTGAAGGAATTGCAATAATCTCAGTTTTCCTGCTTGGAGAGAGCTTTCTCTACCCACCTCTCCTCCTTCTGGAGAAAGTATTGCTTTACTCATCCCAAGGAAGGTCCTCATTTCCTTTCTGCTACATCCACATCTACTTTTATTTCATCTCTCTCCATCTGAAGTACAGATGAAGGCAAGACCAGGCTCTCTGAATTCTGTGTCTTAGCAAAAGGCAATTACTACATTTTTTTTTATTCTTGTTCTAATCACAGGAGACTTTTCTGAGAAACCTAGTTACTGATTCTACCACTCCCTTACTTCCTACTTCTAACTCCTCTTTGAAGCTTGACATTGGTGTGAAAGGTATTTTGCTTCAAATTGCTTAAGAGGTCTCATTAATGAGGTTGACGACAGCCATATCCTGCCATGCTTCGTGAGACTTGTCATTTCCCCTACCCTGAACATTTAGACCACATGTGAATGGAATGACAAAGTGATATGGTCATTATTTGTTTATTTGCATCTGTCTTTGGAAAACATCTCCTTAATTTGAAATGCCCTCATCTCATGAGGTGTCACTGATTTGTCTCTGGCTCTCTCCCCTCTCTTCATATCTGGGTTCATTCAGCAACCACCAAATAATAAGTAATCTCTGGGGCTCATTCTAATTGTTTATTCATTCAAATCTGTGAATGCTTACCATGTGCCAGACACCACGATAACTGCTAGAAGAGTAGGTGAATAAATAGTCACAGTTTCTGTTTTCCAGGAGGTTCCATTCTAGACATCACCAAAGCAGTTTTAAGTAAATATATAAAGAATCTGCCTGCAACGCAGGAGACTCGGGTTGGATCCCTGGTTGGGGGAAGATCCCCTGGAGAAGGGAATTGTTACCCACTCCACTATTCTTGCCTGGAGAATCCCATGGGCAGAGGAGCCTGGTGGGCTATAGTTCGTAGGGTTGCAAAGAGTCTGACAGGACTGAAGTGACTTAGCGCACACACACACACACACACACACACACACACACACACACATGCACTCTTTCTGCATGAGCCTCCATTTGCTTAACAGTCACCCCTCTAAGAAGTAGGAATGCACCTGAAGTTTACTAACTTGTCCATTTTCAAAATGAGACTTCCAGCATTGTGTTCAAAGTCAGGTACTACTCCAAAAGCTTACATGCTATCTTTCTAAGTATGTTTACTCTCTGGTCTTTGGTTAACTGACTAACTCTATTAAGTGCAATAAAGTTCTGCCATTTGGGCTGATTTTCACCTCAGACAGAGGACTATTTCCAAAGGAGAGCTTAAGTCAGTGATAATATATCCTGTTTGATAACCTCCAGATTCAGTTTTGAGGTATGAGCCATTAACAAATAATATTAGACCACAGTTCTCAGTGGCATTCTCTAACACATTTGAGTCACGTACAGAACATCCCCTAACAAAGGCAAGACAATTGTGCCATTCACCTTCCTCTGGCAGAGTGACAAAATTCAGTGTTGGAGTGGTGATTAGTTAGTAATGTGAGAGTACAAAAGTAACAATGTCACAGGAGGTTAATCAGCTGGCTGAAAGTGTTGCATGTTCTCAGCCAGCATTAATGTCTGTCCTATATGAGGAACTATGAGGTCAAATGAGGATCCTAGAGCTAGTTCAGTAAAAATATCAACAATTACTTATTTTTTTATTTAAAAAGATGGTAACGATAACCCTATATGCAAAACAGAAAAAAAGACACAGATGTATAGAACAGACTTTTAGATTCTGTGGGAGAGGCGAGGGTGGGATGTTCTGAGAGAATAGCATTGAAACAAATATACTATCAAGGGTGAAACAGATCACCAGCCCAGGTTGGATGCAAGAGACAAGTGCTCAGGGCTGGTGCACTGGGAAGACCCAGAGGGATGGGATGGGGAGGGAGGTGGGAGGGGGTATCAGGATGGCAAACACATGTAAATCCATGGCTGATTCATGTCAATGTATGGCAAAAACCACTACAATATTGTAAAGTAATTAGCCTCCAACTAATAAAAATAAAGGAAAAAAACCCAATTACTTATTTTTTTAAGCAACAGCTACTACTATGGGGGATAAATCTTTGCAACGAGGTCAAGAGTCTGGCAATAGATTTTTGATGGTTCCCATGAAGTTGAATTAAAACCCCAAGGGTTTGTCCAGATCACTTATGCACATATAGACAAAAGGGATTTTTGTATTTAGAAATGTCAGTCAATGAAGCTATTGAAGAACTTTCTTCCTATTTCAGAGTATCTTTCTGAAAAATACTGACTTATATACTGACTTATCTTTGAACACTTGAGGTGAATAAATACAGATAACTGAGCAAAAATGACAGGGTTTAATTTAGTAATAGTAGCATCCCTGTCCACCGGGAATTGATGAGGCTGACCATCTGCACATAAGAAGTAGCCATTTTTCCTGGAGGAAAAGAGTTTGTAAGCTTAGACGACCTCAGGAGAGCTGCCAATAGTTGGTTAAAAGAGATGTTTGCTCTCTTTGTGTTTCAAGACCACTCTGAACACAGACCCAACAAATTTTCCACCCTTGGCAGGTGGAAAATTTGAGTGAACGCCCTCTAGATCAAAAGCAAACTCTCAGAACAATAATCAAGATGAAAGGAGACTCTCATCCAGTTTCATTGGTGACTCACAACAAAGTTTGTCCAAATGGATGCTGGTCTGGTAAGAACAGCCTTCATTAGATCAATACTCTTTGGTCTGTGACACTGGTTTGAACAACAGGTTTAGAGGACCTGTGCCTGTGTTCTACTTTATGATTCTTCTTCTTCTGACAACACTTTCAGACAGCACAATACAAAATAGAAGTATAAAAGAGAACCAAAAAACATGGAAAAGAATGGTCTGATTCCAAGGGTGTCAAATATATGGGAACCAATAACAAAACCTGGGTACCAAACTTAGAATAAATAGTTGAAGAACTCAATATAACAACAGTGGAGCCCAGATTTGGCACTTACTTACCATGTTGACACAGACTAGACAGCCACAAGCAGGGTGGCATTAGGGTATCTGTGAGAACCTCATCCGGCTGAAGGCTGGGGTCCATGGTGATGGACAGAGAAGATCGTGTCTCAGTGGGGTCTCCAGGAAAACTATGGAAAAGAATGAAAACCATTCAAATAACAGGAACTTCAGAACTAGCAAGATTTAGTCATCATCACTTGCATTTGGCAGACTCAAAGGCAGGCAGGGGAGTGGAAAAGCTTTATGTTAGAAAAGGGGAAGGGTTCAGGTGTGCTCTGATTGGAGACTGTTGACAAGGGGAAGCTGTTGACCATCTATTCTATAGTGTTCAGTGCTGTGCTGTGAACACAGATGTCAAACATAACCCTCGTCAATGAGGCGCTCACAGTCTAGTTGAGGAAGACAGAAAATTATCGACTGAAATGAAATTTGGCAAGTATCACGGCTAATAAATGGCAGGATGGTCTGGGAACACACAGTAGGAACAGTGGTTGAGTGTGAAAGCTTTAGTCATTCAGTTGTGTCTGACTCTTTGGGACCCCATGGACTGTAGTCCACCAGGCTTCTCTGTCTACAGAATTCTCCAGGCAAGAACAGTGGAGTGGGTTGCCATTTCCTTCTCCAGGGGATCTCCCCAACCAAGGGATCAAACCTAGGTCTCCTGCATTTCGAAAAGATTCTTTACTATCTGAGCCACCAGGTTACCTGTTAAACAATGTGTCCCAGGGCAGTAGGGTGTGGTGGGGGTGGGGCAGTGGGAGGGAAGGGTCTGATTTGTAGAGATTACTGATTTCAATGGATTTCCATGGTGTAAATACTCCCACCCTGGCCAGTTTTAATTTACCTGTAGGATGCCACTAAACAGGTAGTTGGAAAAATATGTGAGGTAAGGTGCCATTATATCCTGTTTCCACCATACAGTACAGCAGATGCAAACAATTTCAAGAGCACAGATAATAGTAAAATGTAGAAAAATAATTAGGAAATTACGAGTTTGAGTGTTTACTATATTTTGCTTTTAAGACAATTGGCTTAATTGTAAACTTACAACTAAGAGCCACTGTATTTAAAAACCAACTCACAAAATTATTGAACATTTAACAATCACCTCTTGAAAGAGAAAATGAACTATTGTAAATTGGTCCCAGCATACCACTAGACAAGAGTGATTTCAAGAATTATTGTAGGCTCACCTAGAGTGAAGACTGAAAGGAAATCAATGGGAGGGATCCTGCCTTTTCATCTCCATCTCAAGCACCTAGTGCTAGGTTGTTGAAAAGTCCAAAGTAACTCATTAATTCAATATTTTAAAAAAATTTTGAGCCCCTACTATATTCTGGGCACTTTTCCAGGCATTTGGGGAGTACCACAGCAAATACCAAGGCCCTGCCCTTTACATTCTTTTGGTTTACATTCTTTTGGATGTACGTGTGTGTGTTTATGTGTGTGTCTGTAAAAAACGTCTCATATCAGGAGGTGGATGATAAGTGTTATGGCCAAAAACTCTGTGGTGCAAAGGAGAAAAGGAGTGGGGGCACTGCTATTTCAAACGAGGTTTCCAGACATTTGTCAATGTTGAGACCTACGAAGGAAGGGGTGAACGGGTCTGGAATCTGAGAAACATGACCCGAGTAAGGCTGAAGAGCAGACTCCGATATCCACCATTAAACAGGACTGGAATACAGCGTAAGCTAGGAAATTTTTTCTTCAGGGAAGCCACTCACTTGGCCCTGACTCTCCTCAGCCGCTCCTCTCAGGTAGAAAGTCCTTCCTTCAAGTCCGTGGGCAGGGCTAATTTTCTGTAGTGGTTGAAGCCTGCCAAACGCCCGGACACCCTTGCGCATGCGCAGATGCTTCGTCTACAGGCACACTATGAGGAGCGGTTCGCGCATGTGCGAGAGCGAGACGGACCTTTTTGTCCCAAGGCCCTCCCGTACCGTCCAGGAGGCGAGTGGCCTCCTGGTTCCCGGGTATGTTTGTTGTGTGTCAGTTGTTCTCCGGTCTCCGACAGCTGTCGCCACTACGGACATGAACCGCGAGCTCTTCGCGGCGGGCGAGCGGCTGGTGTCGCCGGCTTACGTGCGGCAGGGCTGTGAGGCCCGCCGCTCGCACGAGCACCTCATGCGGCTGCTTCTGGAGAAGGTACTGGGCTCTCGGGTCCCTCCCCAACCGCCGCGCCCCCCAGGCTCCGGCTCCGCCCAGCGCCCCTGTTAGTTCCAGGACGAGCCTCACCCGCTCGTATTTGCAGTCTGAACCCCGTCCCCAGAGCCTGTAGCAGATTGGCATTGCCCTGTGCCGGCTTGCACCGCTCAGGTCCTTCTCAGCTTCGCCAGTGCCGCAAAACCCGGAGAGCGTTATTAGGCTATACGAGGTGATCGGGATTTTGAGCCCCCTCTCCCTCCCCCCGCTATTTTTTTCCCCCCTAACTTCGGGCTGGCGAAGCGAGGGGGAGGGACCATATGATTTAGTTTTTTGTTTGCGGGTAGGGCAAAGTTCGCCTCTTCCAACTTTCACTACTCCCAGGAAACACGTGATGTTTATATAAACTTAGGTTTGTTAACTGGTAAGGGCTTACCTGGTGGCCAAGAATCCGCCCGCCAGTGCGGGAGACGTGGGTTCCATTCCTGGGTCGGGAAGACCTGGGGAAGGAAATGGCAACCCACTCCCAATTTTCTTGCCTGGAGAATCCTATGGACAAAGGAACCTGGCGGGCTACGGTCCATGGGGTCCCAAAGAGTCAGACAGGACTTAGCGACGACACAACAAGGCACTTAAAATCAGTCAGTCCTAAAGGAAATCAACCCTGAATATTCATTGAAAGGACTGATGCTGAACCTCCAAAGCTTTGGCCACCTGATGCAAGGAGCCGACTCGTTGGAAAAGACCGCGAAACTGGGAAAGAGTGAAGGCAAAAGGAGAAGAGGGCGGCAAAGGATGAGATGGTTAGGTATCACCCACGGGATGGACAGGAATTTGAGCAAATCCTAGAAGATAGTCGAGGACAGAGGAGCCTGGGGTGCTGCAGTCCTTGGGGTCTCAAAAGAGTCGGACGCCTTAGTGACTGAACAACATGCTAACTCAAAGCAAGTATTGCCAAGGAACCTCACAGGTTTCCTAATTCTTGCCAGCATCCTGAATTTTCATCTCAGTACAGTTTGGCAACCCCAGTTTTAACACCCTGGTTTGAAAAATCCTAGTTGAAGATAAGGTTTATTTGTCTTCAGTTACTTTTCTTGTATCTTTAAACCTGGGTAAATCTATTGTATGCATTTATCATCACATCTGTAGTCTGTAGGTAATTGTAATGCATTGTAACAAACATTTTGCCTTCTGAGAGTTTCTTCACAGTGCTGAATTCATGTCTGAATTTTAGAAAGCAAGAAGCATGGCAAAATGTGCATGGAAAAGTTTTAAAGTTCATTGAATAGAGTTCTAGGGAATGATGGTTTTTTAAATATAGTCATAAGCTTTTTTTCCCCTCCTTTTTTAAGGGCAAGTGTCCAGAGGATGGTTGGGATGAAAGTACACTTGAACTCTTTTTACATGAACTTGCAATTATGGACAGCAACAATTTCCTGGGCAATTGTGGTGTGGGAGAAAGGGAAGGAAGAGTGGCATCTGCATTAGTTGCTCGGCGACATTACAGGTAGGTGTTTTTAAATACAAAGCATTTCTTTTTTCTTTGCTAAAAACCATGGTGGCAGTATTAATAAAATTATAAAGTGTTTGTTTGTAACCTACTTCGTGTTTAAATGGGCATGTGAACTAGCTTCAACAGGGAGATGGAAACGATTTATCTGAGTAGGTGGTTTTTAAGATAGTAGGGTAAAAGTTCTAGTATGTGGTGGTTATCCTGTCAGGTCTGGGTTGTTAAAAAATACTGGCTGTTTGTTGTGTTAAGAGTGTTTAACCTAATAAACCTATTTGGTTATCAGAGTTTAAACTGTGTTAGGGTTGTTTATAGTTTTCCATGTTTCTTTTCTAACATTGCAGATTTTTTTTATAGAATGTAATATGGATAGAACTTTCCATCATTCACTCACATCTAAATTGAATCCTATATGAGTATCCTGCTTTGTTGCAGTAGGTGTAGGAAAGGTATATTATATTCAATTTCAGGTTATTAAATCACTTTTTTCTTTTGTATTATTTCAGAAAACATTATGCCATCAATTCTGACAAAGATTTAGTTGTCAGTGGTTCGAAATACGATCATTTCTCTGTTCTCCAACCTTTCCTTGAAATATAGGTAAACTCTTTAAAACTCATGTCTTCCATGATTTTAAATCATGATGAAATTTTCCTCGGGATAGTAGAATTTTATTTCAGCCCAAGCTATTGTCAAAGCTAATGATAATGAATGTATGACCTAGATGAAAAATTCATGGTTAAAAATAAGCTGATAACATCATTGATAATATATGTTAAGAAAAAGCTTTGTGCCTGAGGTTGCAGTGGTAATGGAGTATGATACTAGTGTTCTGTGATAATTCCTATGTGCAGAGTTTCTAATGTAGGCAACTATAAATGATAAATAAATCAAATTTAAAATGAATGGTTTGTACACTAATTTTCAAGGAGCATATAATTCTTCTAAACTTAAGGCAATATTTGAAACATCAGTTCATCTCTGTTGGAACTTAGCTCACTTCTCTGATTAGGGAAATGGAAAGAAAGAAGATAATTTAATATTGCATATATTCTGGTTTTCCATGGCTGTATAACAAACCACCTCAAAACATAGTAGCTTAAAGCAGTCACTTCTTGTTGTCTCTCACAGTTCTATAGGTCACCTGGACCTAGCAGGTAATTATTGCTTCAGGTCTCTCATGTACACAGTCCAGCTGAGAGTTTAGTCATCTGAAGGTTCAACTGGGCTGTTTATCCAAGTTCAGTCAGTTAGATGGCTGGGAATTGAGATGGCCTCTCCAAGTGGCTTGACTTGGGTTTCCACCAGCATGGCAGCTGGATTTGAAGAGAGAAACCCTCTCTTCCTCTCCCCAGCCTCCCCTTGAGCAAACGTTCAAGAGACCAGGTAGAGAGAGGCTTTAAGACTTGTTATGACCTAGCTCAGACGTTCCACACCATTGTGCCTACTTGATCCAGACCAAACAAATCACTGAGGCCAGCCCAGATTCAAGTTGAGAGGAATTAGACTCCATCTCTTGGTGTGGCAGTGGCATATGGGTATAGAGAGAAACAGAATCGATAGTGGCCATCTTTGAAGACTAGCAACCACAGCATAATTGATGAATTTGTTTTGGTTTAACTAGATATTTCCACATTATTAATAGTCAAATATAGTGTTTATTTGGTTATTTGTATTTGTATACTTATACAGTGGATTACTTAACAGTGAACATTTTTGTCCAGTTGTTGGCCCATTTTTTGCTTAGGTTCATTCATGGAATTGGACGATCAGGTGATATTTCTGCTGTGCAACCCAAAGCTGCAGGTTCTAGCCTTTTGAACAAAATTACCAATTCTTTGGTCCTGGACATCATAAAATTGGCTGGTATGTACTGTGTTAATCATAATACTTTTGGCTGACCAGTCACACAAACCTTTGCCTACTTTCTTTTATTAATGCTTCTTTCCAAAAGGAATATAAATGGCTTTTGAAAAGATATATATAAAACCTTTAGAATAAGATGGAAAATAAGAGCCATAAGTCTGGAGGATGAATTTAGCAATGAGCTTCCTGAGCAGGAATACAGAAGAAGTACTAAGTCTATAACTCTTTTTATTTGATAGAAGTATATAATTTCTTTAAGAAGGATGCTAGTTTTTCAATGGAATAACTAATTTCTGTTTTTGTTCTTATTTGTAGGTGTCTATACAGTGACCAGCTGCTTTGTAGTTCCAATGGCAACTGGTATGAGTCTAACCCTGTGTTTCTTAACATTGCGACACAGAAGACCAAAGGCAAAGTATATTATATGGCCGCGAATAGACCAGAAGTCTTGCTTTAAATCTATGATCACTGCAGGTAAAAAAAAAGAGAAGCAGCATATTTGTCTTCAATATCACAGAAAATTCAAACATTTTATATAGAGGCAAATAAGTGAAAAAGAAATGAAAGCGAAGCCACTCAGCCATGTCTGTCTCTGTGACCCCATGGACTGTAGCCTGCCAGGTTCCTCCATCCATGGGGTTTTCCAGGCAAGAGTACTGGAGTGGGCTTCTGTTTCCTTCTCCAGGGGATCTTCCCGACCCAGGGATTGAACCTGGATCTCCTGCACTGCAGGCAGACTCTTTACCATCTGAGCTACCAACTAAACCTGTTCCTATTCCATTTTTTTAATTGTGGTGAAACATACATAACAAAATTTATCATTTTAACCAGTTATAGTTTCTTGATACTAAGTACATTTGTCATGTTTGAGCCATCACTACCGTCTCTTTACAGAACTTTTTCATCCTCTTTAACTGAAACTCTACCTATTAAACAATAACTCTCCCCTCCCCTCCACGCCAGGTCCACAGAAATCACTATTCTACTTTCTGTCTATGAATTTGTCCTTCATACAGGTGAAATTATAGACTATTTGTCCTTTTGTGACTGGCTTATTTGACTTAGCATAATATCTTTAAGGTTCATCTATGTTATAATATGTGCCAGAATTTCCTCCTTCTTTTAAGACTCCCATTGTGTGTGTGTGTGTGTGTGTGTGTTGTTTATTCATTCATTCATTTACTGGTGGACACTTGGGTTGCTTCCACCTTTTGGCTATGGTGAATAATGCTGCTAAGAACATGGCTGTACATATCTTGTTTGAGTTCCTGCTGTGAATTCTTTTCAATATACACTCAAGAAGTGGAAGTGCTGCACTGTATGCCCCCGTTCTTTAAAATGGGAATATGATTACCTACTTCAGAAGATTGTTTTCAGGATTAAATGGGATGACATATGAAGTGCCGGCAATAATCCCTGGAGCATGTAGGGTGCTTCAGGAATATTTGTTGTGTGTACATGAGTGGAATACCCATAAATAATTACCATGAACCAAAATACAAGAATACAGACATCACTGAATATAGATGAAAAGAAACTTTAAATTGGCATTTTAGTATTTGGCTTCCTGATTGGGTCAAGTCAAATTTGAGAATTTAAAGTTGTTTTTGAATGACCTCAGTCTGTTGTATGAAATGAACAGTATTGGACTGTAATTAAACTGCATAAATAATTCTAAAGAAACTCGGGTAAAGGGATTCATAATAAGATCATATTGCAGAAATAGACTTTTAAGTGGCATAAATCTGTCAAGTCTGTTAATTTGCAAACTATTAACCAAAAATCTGATAACCAAACTTATGGAAAGATTGATATATTGAAAAACTGGAAACTTTTTCCAAAAGGTGTTATGATTTGAACAACATTATGTTCTTACGAAGCAAGATGGTTATATTCATAGAAAAACAACACAAACTTGCATTGTAATTGTTTGAAAGCAAAAATAAGATTGAATCTAGAGAATGTGAGAATGGAAAATTAGCTGTCCTTAGGATGTTATTGATTTTAGTAAAGTTTTGTTTTAATAGCTGCTTATATATGAAATCTAGACTTCTGTGGACCAGCATATGTGAATTGATGATTTTATAGTGGCTGAAGTTTTATATTTCTATAGTTAGAATGCAGACAGCTTGTTGTGGATTCTAAAACAGAAATGAAAATTACTTGCACTTAACTTTGCTTTAAATTGCTGTGTGACCTTGGGGAAACCACTTAATCTTCCTAAACTTTGGCTCCCTTATCTTTGAAATAAGGAAGTTGAGTTAAATGGTTTCTAAATCCCTTATAGCTTTTAAATCCATGAATCTGGCCTACTGCTAGATCTGGTATTTAGGAAGACTTAAGACATGAGTACATAATAACTTTACGTGCAAAACAATTTTTGTGTTTAAATTATAGAAGGCTCTTATAAACTATGAGATGGGTCTCCTAAAATGTTTTATTTTTCTTTAGAGATAAAACATTAAGTGCATGATTGTGATTTGTTCCAGTACTTGAATTATATTATTTTTGTTCATCTCTCAAATAAAATGAACTTTAAAATAAAACTTGTGTTGCCAGAGATTGAGTAGATTTACTTTTCGAAGGACTGAAATTGAACAGGGCTCAGTGACCTCTCTTGTCATCAGTGACTGTGTTACTACTTTCCTAGGCATCTATTCAACGTTTGTTTTCCTTTCTTCCCAGAATTAGTCTTTCTTGTCATATCAAAATATTAAATAGATTTGTGATCCTAATTGTCCTTCACATTGTTTCGACCTGCCTTTGCCTCATGCCAGTGTTAAGCCAGGTCTTTATATTAGAGAAGGGTCCTTTGACCAAAATAAATATTTAAGAGTTCTGTATAGAATAGGACTGCTTCCTAGAGTCCAGGATCTCCCCTTATTCTAACATTTTGGTTTCTGGTTGACTTGGTTAGGTTTTGAGCCTGTGGTGATAGAGAACGTTTTAGAAGGTGATGAGCTGCGCACAGACCTGAAAGCAGTGGAGGCTAAAGTCCAGGAACTTGGGCCTGATCACATTCTGTGTGTTCATTCTACTACGTCCTGTTTTGCTCCAAGGGTGCCTGATAGGTAAATGATTTGTGAATATTGTCTTTCACTGTTCATCAGTCTTTAAAATGCACTTATACTAATTCTGAGAGAGATCTAAGTAACATTTGGCAGTTAATGCTGCTTGAATGAACTGTTGAAGAAACAACATAATGGCTTCAGAAAATAAAAATATGATATAGAAGAAGGAAAAGCAACTACTATCAAGTGGAGACCCTTTTTATCACCTGAGTAGATGCAGATCATCTCTGTTTTCTTGCTCCTCTTTATGTTTCTGGACATCTAACATCTTTTTTGTCATTATTTAATAGAAGTTTCTAAGCTAAATTTTGGATTTGCATATTTGTTTTTATTGCCATCTCCACTTATTTGATCTTACAGTTTTCATATATAGGAACTATCAGTATTATATAATAACAGATTTTAAATAGAAAATTTTAGGATTATTTATTGCCCTTTGATTTTCCTTTTTTAAATTGGAAGACTAACCCAGATATACAGTTAGGTATATCATTATTCTTGCATTTTGAGAAGATGCAAATGTTTAAAAATGGCAACTGTTTCCTTTACTCAAGGATGGCCACAAGTTTTTGCTCTGAAAATGTAGTAGGCTTAGGTATAGTAATATATATTTCTAGTTTTGACAGCAACTATTTGTTTCATTTTAACATTTTGAACAGAAGTACTAATAATTTATAAAAACTACATTGACTTCGGACAATTTTCATAGCATCAAGTTATACTTTGATTTTAATTCATGGAGTCACATGATTTGACAGTAATTAATGAATGCATATTAGCTTTCTTTATAAGCAGATTTTAAGACACTTTTTAAGACATTTGCTTCATTCATGAGCTTGAGTTCTGTTTTCAGATTATGTTACATATGCTTGAGTTGTTTACTCATTTTAAATTTGTATTGAAATATTAAGTAAACATCTTTATTTCTTCATTGATGTTTTTGCTATCTAGAAAAATTTTAATGTGATGGAAATAAATTACATTTCTAAAAACAGCATATGGATATTTGTATTATTATAGATTATTTATCCTTGAGGATATTTTTGTTTTTCTTTCATTTTGACTTTTTTTTTAAATTGACATATGGTTGGTTGATTTGCAATGTTGTGTTAGTTTCTGGTGTACAGAAAAGTGATTCAGTTATACATATACATATAAAAACAATATGTATATTTTTTTTTATATCCTTTCCATTAGGGTTTATTAAAGGATATTGAATATAGCTCCCTGTGCTTTACAGTATGACCTTGTGGTTTATCTGTTTTACATATAGTAGTTTGTATCTGCTGATCCCAAACTCATTTATCTTTCCCCCGCCCGGTTTCCCTTTTGGTAATCATAAGTTTGTTCTCTGTGTCTGTGAGTCTGTTTCTGTTTTGTGAGTTTGTTCATTTGTATCATATTTTAAATTCTGCATATAAGAGGTATCAAATTGTAATTTTCTTTCTCTGACTTGCTTCACTTAGTATGGTAATCTCTAGGTCAGTCTATGTTGCTGCAGTTGGCATTATTTTGTTCTTTTTTATGGCTGAGTAGTATTCCATGATCTGTATAGGCCACACCTTTATCCATTCACCTATAGGTAGACATTCAAGTTGCTTCCATGTTTTGGCTATTGTAAATAGTGCCATTATGAATATAGCTCAGTCACTCAATCGTGTCTGAATCTTTGCTGCCCCATGGACTATAGTCTGCCAGGCTCCTCTGTCCATGGGATTATCCAGGCAAGAATACTGGAGTGGGTGTCATTTCCCACTTCAGGGGATCTGCCCACCTCAGACACTGAACCTGTGTCTCCTGCATTGGCAGGCAGATTCTTTACCACTAGTGCCACCTGGGGAAGCCCTCGTTATGAATATAGGGATGCAGGTATTTGTTTGACTTAAAGAGTTTTGTCTGCATGTATGTCCAGAAGTGGGAATGCTGGATCCTCTGGCAACTCTATTTTTGGTTTTTTTAAGGAATCTCCATACTCTTTTTCCATAGTGGCTGCGTCAGTTTACATTCCTGCAAACAATGTAGGAGGGTTTCCTTTTCTCCACACCCTCTCCAGCACTTATTATTTGTAGATTTTTTTAATGATGGCCATTCTGAGTGGTGTGAGGTGATAACCTCATTGAAGTTTTGATATGCAGCTCTATAATAATTAGCGATGTTGAGCATCTTTTCATGTGCCTATTGGCCATCTGTATCATTTTGAATAACTTTATTGACTGGTATAGGATAAGTACATTTTGTGTGTATTATCCTTTACAGAAAATCAGTTTTTTTTTTTCAGTCAGAATTCTCATGTTTATTCTCATGTTAATAATAATCTGTTTAGTGGTGTTATATAATGAATGTTCCTGATTAGAGTGAACTTTAGGAAAATGATGATGCTCAGTTATTAGTAATATATTTGAATTTCTGGTTTTATTAAATTTAAAACTACATTTTGATTTCTTTACATTAAGTTTAATTCCTTTATAGTCTTAATTTGAATGTATATATTGTCTTTATTAATTAGACAGAGTATTGTGGGACAAAATCAAAGAAAATATTTTTAAAAAGTATCATTTCTTAAATTGATAACTTAAATTGGATTCTAAGTTAGAATACAATCTGATTCACATGGAAAATATTTTTTTCATTTCTCATTGCCTTAATACACATTGTAAATATTAGCAATTTGAGCAATTCGGAATATTTAAAACTACTCACAAGTTATTTTTTTTAAAGTACTTTGTTATTATGATGCTTTCTTCTCAAAGAAGTTTGTTCCATTATTAAGAAATACTTTCATTAGAACACAAACATGTGAAAGTGTCTTTTATGAAGAAAATACTTGTGTGTATTCCAGAAGCCTATTTTTGTTAAAAACAACGTCTGATTCGTTTTCTGCCTTGATTTGTGAGGTTTATGAAAATGAGTGATAAAATGAATTTTTAATTCATAAAACAAAACTTTAAAGAAGTAAATTGAAAACTTCTAACAGTTGAATAATGTTATTTCTATTGTTGTTTAAAAACATGCTACTGTACATCTACTGTAAAAGGAAACTGTGCTGTGGATAAACAGATAATTAAGCTATTATATACTTGGAATACATTTTTGTGGAAAAGAATTTTTATTCTTTTAACATGCTTCAAATTTTTATATTGTAGAGAGCATTTTTAAATAATTTTTATCAAGCCATAAGATTTCGTTTTAGCTTCATAGCATGAAGACATTTCTGTTAGAGATGACCTCAGTCACAAGTAGTATTTACTTTTATAAAAGAGCATCATTTATTACACTCTAATTGAAATTTATTACTTTACTTTGCATAAAGTTAGACTCTCAGATTGTCTTAATATGAGAAGTGTCAAATGAAAAAGTAAGAGTGAATTTTAAACCAGCATCTATTTAAAAGATTCTTTAGTATCCAAGTTGTTGGAAAACATTATTTTGGTACTCAAGTAGTTTAATGTTCGGTATTTTTTAATACATTAAAGTCTATTTGAAAATGTATTTTTTCCTTTATGAGATGCTTCATAGAGACTTCTTAGGATTTCAAGATATGCTAATTATTTTGCAGATATTGGCTTTGTAATGATAAGCAACTGAAAGCATTTAAAAATGAGCATACCTACCTTGTAAGAACTTTATAAATAATCTGCTTCTTGCTTTTTTTTTTTTGCTTCTTTTTATATAGAAAATTTTCAAGTGATTTAAAAGCTACCATCTATATAGACTTTTCGTTTTCTTATTTTTATTGGTAACATTAATTTAAAAGCTTTTCCAGGCTTATCTCTAAGTACCTACTATGTATTTCAAAGGTGCCAAAGTATATGCTGAAATACTGCTGTAAAAATTTCAGTTTGTTATTTTTTTCCTTAGTATACTTTTTTGCTGTTTAGTTGCTAAGTCGTGTCCGACTGTTTTGTGACCCCATGAACTATAGCTCACCAGGCTCCTCTGTCCATGGAATTTCCCAGGGAAGAATACTGGAGTGGGTTGCCATATGGATAACTTAAATTTTAAAACTCTTCTTGTAGTTTATTAAGGCAGAGTATGAATACAGCTTTCTTGAATATGTTTATAGGTTAGAAGAACTGGCTGTGATTTGTGCTAATTACGGCATTCCACATATAGTCAACAATGCCTATGGAGTGCAATCTTCAAAGTGCATGCACCTCATTCAGCAGGTAAGAGAGCTTCAAAAGATATGTCAAGAAAAAATGGATTTTAACATATTTGGGATTATTACTTTGTTTTTCTTACAACCTAATATAGAAAGACAGTTTAGCATCTTTGTTTTTATGGAGCATTAGGAATTTGCATCCAGTAGTCACTAGTGAAAGTCATTATTCTTTGCTAGTGGCATTGGACTACAGCTGTGGTCAGAATGGATGTAAAAATATTTCACCACAGAGCACCGAGCTGAGCTCCCTTTGCTATAGAGCAGGTTCCCAGTAGCTGTCTACTTTACACATGGTAGTTGGTAGTGTGTATTTATCCGTCCTAGTCTCCCAGTTCATCCTACCCAAGGTGGGTGGTGGGAGGGAGGCCTAAGAGGGAGGGGCTGTATGTAGCCAGTTCACTTCACTGTACAGCAGAAACTTACACAACACTGGACACCACCAGATGGTCAACAACGGAATCAGACTGATTATATTCTTTGCAGTCAAAGATGGAGAAGTTCTATATAGTCAGCAAAAACAAGACTGGGAGCTGACTGAGACTCAGATCATGAACTCCTTATTGCAAAATTCAGACTTAAATTGAAGAAAGTAGGGAAAACCACAAGACCATTGAGGTGTGACCTAAATCAGATCCCTTAACGATTATAAAGTGGAAGTGACAAATAGATTCAAGGGATTAAATCTTATAGAGTGCCTGAAGAACTATGGACAGAGTTTCATGACATTGTACAGGACCAGAAATCAAGACTATCCCCAAGCAAAGGAAATTCAAAAAGACAAAATGGTTGTCTGAGGAGGCCTTACAATATAGCTGTGAAAAGAAGAGAAGTGAAAGGCAAAGGAGAAAAGCAAAGATATGTCCATTTGAATGCAGAGTTGAAAGAACAGCAAGGAGAGATAAGAAAGCCTTCCTCACTGATCAATGCAAAGAAATAGAGGTAAACAATAGAATGGGAAAGACTAGAGATCTCTTCAAGAAAATTCGGGATACCAAGGGAACATTTCGTGAAAGATGGGCTCAATAAAGGACAGAAATGCTATGGACCTAACAGAAACAGAAGATACTAAGAAGAGGTGGCAAGAATACACAGAAGAACTATACAAAAAAGATCTTCCTGACCCAGATAATCGCGATGGTGTGATCACTCACCTAGAGCCAGACATCCTGGAATGTGAAGTCAAGTGGGCCTTAGGAAGCATCACTATGAACAAAGCCAGTATAGATGATGGAATTGCAGTTGAGCTATTTCAAATCCTAAAAGATGGTGCTGTGAAAGTGGCGCACTCAATATGCCAGCAAATTTGGAAATCTCAGCAGTGGCCACAGGACTGGAAAAAGTCAGTTTTCATTCCAATCCAAAGAAAGGCAATGTCAAAGAATGCTGAAACTACTGTGCAGTTGCACTCATCTCAACACGCTAGTGAAGTAATGCTCAAAATTTTCCAAGCCAGACTTCAACAGTATGTGAACAGTGAACTTTCAGGTGTTCAGACTGGTTTTAGGAAAGGCAGAGGAACTAGAGATCAAATTGCCAACATCTGTTGGATCATCAAAAAAGCAAGAGAGTTCCAGAAAAACATCTATTTCTGCTTTACTGACTATGCCAAAGCCTTTGACTGTGTGGATCACAGCAAACTGTGGAAAATTCTTCAAGAGATGGGAATATCAGACCACCTGACCTGCCTTCTGAGAAACCTGTATGCAGGTCAGGAAGCAACAGTTAGAACTGAACATGGAACAACAGACTGGTTCCAAATAAGAAAAGGAGTACGTCAAGGCTGTATATTGTCACCCTGCTTATTTAACTTATATGCGGAGTACATCTTGAGAAACGCTGAGCTGGATGAAGCACAAGCTGGAATCAGGATTGCCGGGAGAAATATCAATAACTTCAGATATGCAGATGGCACCACCTTTATGTCAAAAAGTGAAGAAGAGCTAAAGAGCCTCTTGATGAAAGTGAAAGAGGAGAGTGAAAGAGTTGGCTTAAAGCTCAACATTCAGAAAACTAAGATCATGGCATGTGGTCCCATCACTTCATGGGAAATAGATGGGGAAACAGTAGAAACAGTGGCAGGCTTTATTTTTGGGGGCTCCAAAATCAAGTGAGATGGTTACTGCACCCATGAAATTAAAAGACGCTTACTCCTTGGAAGAAAAGTTATGACCAACCTAAACAGCATTTTCAAAAACAGGACATTACTTTGCTAACAAAGGTCCATCTAGTCAAAGCTATGGTTTTTCCAGGAGTCATGTATGGTTGTGAGAATTGGACTATAAAGAAAGCTGAGTGCCAAAGAATTGATGCTTTTGAACTGTGGTGTTGGAGAAGACTCTTGAGAGTCCCTTGGACTGCAAGGAGATCCAACCAGTCCATCCTAAAGGAGATCAGTCCTGAATATTCATTGGAAGAACTGATGTTGAGTCTGAAACTCCAATACTTTGGCCACCTGATGTGAAGACCTGACTCATTTGAAAAGACTCTGATGCTGGGAAAGATTGAAGGAGGGAGAAGGGAATGACAGAGGGTCAGATGGTTGGATGGCATCACTGATTCAATGGACATGAGTTTGAGTAGGCTCTGGGAGTTGGTGATGGAGAGGGAAGCCTGGCCTGCTGCAGTCCATGGGTCGCAAAGGGTCGGACATGACTGAGTGACTGAACTGAACTGAACACAACATTTTAGAGCAACTATACCTCAATTTAAAATAAAAAAAATCTGTTTTTCTTGAAAGAAAAAAAAAATTGAGTAGCTTATTTTATTTAACTTTCTCAAAATGTTCCATTACCAATGTTCTCATTTTCCTAATGTACTTGATTATAGTATTCATAAAATGTTGAATATTTATTCTAGCATATAACTGTGGAGATGGCAGATAGGAAAAGGACTACTTTCTTTTAGGGGAAGGACTTTGTTCACTGGTATGTCCTCAATACTTGGGATAGAACCTGGTACATAATTGACACTCAATAATTGATTACTCCAAATTGAATGATATTTACTTGCAGTGATTATTCATGCTGTATTAGTGTATCGATAGATATTATTTAGGTATAATATGAGTTTTATGATTTGTGTGCATAATGATGTAAATCAAGTACTCAGTTTTGACACACATGTAATTTGTGCTATGCGGTTAAGAGTTGCTCACAGCACTGTTTATAATAGCCAGGACATGGAAGCAACCTAAATGTCCATCAGCAGATGAATAGATAAGTAAGCTGTGGTACATATACACAATGGAATATTACTCAGCCATTAAAAAGAATTCATTTGAATCAGTTCTAATGAGGTGGATTAAACTGGAGCCCATTATACAGAGTGAAGTAAACCAGAAAGAAAAACACCAATACAGTATACTAACGCATATATGTGGAATTTAGAAAGATGGTAATGATAACCCTATATGCAAGACAGAAAAAGAGACACTGATATATAGAACAGACTTTTGGACTCTATGGGAGAAGGCGAGGGTGGGAAGATCTGAGAGAACAGCATTGAAACATGTATATTATCAAGTGTGAAACAGATCACCAGTCCAGGCTGGATGCATGAGACAAGTGCTCGGGGCTGGTGCACTGGGAAGACCCAGAGGGATGGGATGGGGAGGGAGGTGGGAGGGGGTTCAGGGTGGGGAATACATGTACAGCCATGGCTGATTCATGTCAATGTATGGCAAAAACCACTACAATATTGTAAAGTAATTAGCCTCCAACTAATAACAATAATTGGGGGAAAAAAGAGTTGCTCACAGATTATCTGTGGTCTTCTCCCACATGGTGGTGAATGCTTCTTAGTTCTGTAGGTCCTATCTCATAAATTTTTTGTTTTCTTTTTTATTCTTTTGAGTGTACTACTATTATCTCTGATATAAATATGGTTTATATGATAATATTAGCTGATTTTCTTAATTTCTTTACTCAAAGGTGTACCAGTTAAGATGTAATTGACTGCAGGTAACAGAAATCCAACCCAAATTAGCTTAATCAATAAAGAAATAGATTAGCTTGCATAACAGAAGAGGTCCAGAGGTGGGGTGGTGTGCCAGGGTTTTTAAAACCTTTGCAGAAAATCATTTACTGTTTCCTTGATTTCCTTTTCCATAACTCCTAAACTTCATCACAATTTTAGATTAGATTATATCTAATTTGAATAGTGGCAGAGGAACTCTTGAAAAAAATCTCGTTTCAATGATTTATTTTTATCCCGTCTCCCTTTCCCCCCCGTTCCTCTCTCTTCCTCTTTAATTTTTAGCAGCCTCAGTTCTTTTAAAAGTTAAATAGACCAGCATTCCTAAAAGTTTAGAAAAATGAGGAAGTAGTAGAAGATCACTTATAAACATGTTACCCTAACAGTTACCCTTAGTAGTTTCTGTATCTCTTTTCTGTCTCTTTTTAAATACATATGTGGTTTTAGCTATTATGTATACTTAGTATTAACATTTTCAAATTTAGTAAAAATATTTAATTTTTAAATTCAAATATTAACTTTGTGTTTCTATACTCTCCACATGCCTATGAAGTTTTCATAATAATCAGTTTAATGGTTCCTTAACATTTATCCAGATGTTGCATACTTAACCCAGCAATGCTCATGACATATTTTTGAATACTAGAAAATTTGATGGTGTAATTGAAGAAATTAAGACTGCAAAAGCTTCCCATGAGGTTATACATCACAAATAGACTACTTTGTCATCACTTCTCTTCATTTGTGAGGTGGTTTTACTAAAATTTTAACCAGAAAATAACATTATAAGATGGTGAATGAATTTTTATGAGGTAGCTGTTGTATTGTTGCAGATACTGTGTTACCTTCTAAAACTGGTAGTTCTTTAAAAAAACAAAAAACCGTACATGAACATTGACCCTTAAAAAAAGAGGCGGTGTCCCTGTTGCTTTCAACCAAATAAATATTTGGGTCTTATTGGTGCTAGTTGTTTCATGACGTTCTAAAAAATTAAAATTAATTTTATTTCAGTAGTTTTTATTCATTATACGTGCCATTTACTCAGTACATACCATGTGTCAGGCATCCAGCTAGACTTTTAAAGTTTATTAAATTAATCCTAACAGTTTAAGGTATGCTTCTTATTGTTTCTGTTCTGCAAATGAAGAAACATACTCAGAGATATTAAGTGAGTTGCCTAAGGTGCCAAGCTGCAAAATGGCCCATCTATTTCTATGTGACTCCAAAAGCCTTATTTTCCTCTATAAAACAAAGTACTAAAACTGCAAAACTTTCTTGAGGAGATAGTATTGCAGTAATTAAATCATCAGGGAAGAAAGAGGTATAACTAAAATGTTTCCAAATTCTTTTTTTTTTTTTTTTTAAGGGCAGTACCCCAAAATGACTTAATGCTGAGCATACCATGCATTCTGATATACATATATGGTCCCTAGGAAATTAACTTTGCAAAACATACAGTTCTGATATATATTAAACTGACTAACTTAGGAGTCTCATAGAATATGGGTGTGAGGACACATTACTAGATAAGGTTGTAGTAGAGTCACAAAATTACGTAGAATTAATTTAAATTTTAGAGTTAGAATGGATTGCTGAGCTCCCAAAGTGTGGGAAGCAGTGAGTGTGTTCATTGAGAATTTGAGAGAAGTAGGTGTTTTACTACTTATTCATAGACCTGTCAATTCATTCAACACATATTTGCAGGGTTCCCACAGATGTGCCAGGCACCAGGGAAGGTGCTGGGGATGCAGTAGTAAATGTAACAATATTCGTCCTCATGGAATGGAAGCAGACAGTAAGCAATAAGGACGACAGGTCTTCATAAATGCTCTAGCGTTTGAGGGGAGGGATGTCAGATTAGAGGGATCCAGGAAGTCCTCTCTGAGAAGTAACATTTGAGCAGAGCCCTGAGTGATATGGAAGAGTGAGTTGGGTGGTACTCTGGAGAGATTCCAAGCAGAAAGTAACAGTAAGTACCAAGACACTGAGGCCAGGGTATGCTGGGAATGGCTGAGGAAGAGCAAGGAGGCCAGTATAGCTGGACCAGGGCAAATGAGGGTAGCAGTGAGGGTAAAGAGATTTTGAGGTGTGGTAAAGATTTGAGATTTTATTTTTGGTATGGTCATCAGCCAGTGGAAGGTTTTGAGCAGGAGAATAGCCTGTGACTTACCTTTTTAAACCATTGTTCTGGTTGCGCTGTGGGAAATGGCCTGTAAGAAGACAGGTATGGAAGGTTGTTGCAGCTGCCCACGTGAGATGTATTGGTGGCCTAGGCCAGGGTGGTAGCTGTTAAGGTGTTAAGGAACAGTTCAATTCAGATGTATTTTGAGGGTCGATCTTACAGGGTATGCTGATGAATCAGGTGTGAGAAAATGAGGATTCAGGGCCTCCAATACTTTTGGTGTGAGTTGCTGGAAAGATGAAAATGCTGTAGGATACTATTTAATTCTTTAAACATGAGTTCTTCATCGCACTTACCTAGGTTTTTGCCAGGGTGACTTCGAGTGAGTACAAGTGTGCTCAGTTGCTCCATCGAGTCTTACTTTGCGACCCCATGGACTGTAGCCCACCAGGCTCCTCTCTCCATGGGGTTCTCCAGGCAAGAATACTGGAGTGGATTGCCATTTCCTCTCCAGGGGATCTTCCTGATCCAGGGGTCAAACCCACGTCTCCTGTGACTCCTGCATTGGCAAATGGATTCTTTACCACTGAGCTACCTGGGAAGCCCCTGGTGACTTTCAGTAAGACGCTCTAACTTCCTGTGCTATTCACTACATTTCTGACCTTGGGCACATCAGTTCAATTTCTTTGTGCCTTAATTTTCTTATCTGTTAAATAGCTATTATTGTGACATCTGCCCAGAGGGGTATTGCAAAGGTTAAATGAGTTAAGAATGTAGAGTGCTTAGAACAGTGCCTGATGCATAGTAAGTTCTCCATAAATTCGAGTCTTAATTGTTGTATGAACAATCATCTATTTTATGCACTGCTGCTATGTCCAGGACCTGGAGCAGTGTATGGTAATAGGTGATAGATGCCCCAATATTTGTCCTCTGAATAAATGAGTAAGTGAATGAACTGATAAATGGCCACTGTTTACATAGGACGTGCTCCTGTGTTTCCTATTCTGTTTAAGCCCTTCTAGCCTTGTAGTGTTTTTCTTTCCTCCTCAATAATAGCCTCAGACCTTAGTGTGGAGAACAAGATCTATACACCATTCCTAGCCTGTTTGTTTTCCTGCCACAGAGTTTGCTGCCCTTTGAGTGCTTCTGTGTTTTAGTAGTGAAGGGATTCTAGCAAAGTTTGTGGACTGATTACCCTCTTAGTACTCCTGCTCCCAATTTAGGTTCAGATTTCTCTTGGGACATCTTGGGCAGTGCTTAAATGTTGATGAAGAGGTAACTCCGTTCCACTTTATTTTTATGTGCTACTACTTGGCATAGTTTTCAGTTGTTTATTCAGTGGCTTTGCATGGTTTTCAGTTATTATTCAGTTAGTCTTGTATGCTTCTCTCTGTTTTCCTGTGGTAAGATGAGATTTTCTCTGATCATAGTTTATGAGGAAATTAGAAAGGAGAATGATTGGGAAGGTTATGATTGAAACAATCACACGATAGCCTCCAGAGAGGTCTGTGCCCTTTTTCTGCTTTTGCGACTTCTCTCTATTGCCTGACTCTGGTCTCTCAGATTAGGCTCCCTATCTGCTCCTTCTGCTCTCCCTGAGATATGGGTGTGGATATAAAGTGGGAAGATGAAGGTCAAATGTGGTTACAGTATTAATAGGAATGTAGATTGTGAATACAGATTGAAAATCTGTGGCTACAGATAAAGAAGAAAAACGATCTTAGCTGAAATTTAGATAGTATCTCAGTTTTTAAGAGGAGAAAATTGAAACATATTAGGCAGAAGGTCATGGACTGTGTTGCATGGGACTAGAACTTAGTTTTACATTTCTAGCAAGTATTCCATTTTTCACCAGAATATGAAATTTTCACTTGAAGTTCATTTGCAATGGAATAGGATCATCTAAGATTATGATATTAGGAAACAGAAGTTATGTAGAAATATTGGCAATAGTATACCCCCCCAAAATTCCATTAGTTGATATTAAAAATAAAATCTTTCTTTTCTCTGTTGTTATCCAAGTGGTGGTAGGAGCCGAAAGTGAAAGTCGCTCAGTCGTGTCCGACTCTTTGCAACCCCCTGGACTATACAGTCCATGGAATTCTCCAGGCCAGAATACTGGAGTTGGTACCCTTTCCCTTCTCCAGGGAATCTTCCCAATCCAGGGATTGAGCCCAGGTCTCCCACATTACAAGCGGGTTCTTTACCAGCTGAGCCACAAGGGAAGCCCAAGAATACTGCAGTGGGTAGTCTGTCCCTTCTCCAGCGAATCTTCCCGACCCAATAATAGAATCGGGGTCTCCTGCATTGCAGGCAGATTGTTTACCAACTGAGCTATCATGCTTAAAGTGGTCACACAGGTAGTAGATTATCCAAGCATCAGAGGGAGGCACTTGACGTATAACTTATAACTGTGTGGGTGGTTCCAGTCCATCAGGTTAGAGTTGCCACTCTTGACTTTACAGAGGGTGTTTAAAATTGCTTAATAGTTGTTGGACTCACTGTTGACATTTATTGTCAAATAGAAGATCATACGAAAGGTATGAGAGGAATGCATTCTCTCTTACCCAATTTTAAGATGAAATGTTCTATTTCAGTAATAATGCCCACCTGAACTGATGTTGAAACCCTGCCTTTCTCACAAGCTGCTGTGTGTGTGTGAAAGCAGCTTGTAACTATACAGTGTTCTTCCACTTATAAAGCGTTAAACGTTAGTCGCTCTGTCGTGTCAGACTCTTTGGGACCCAGTGGACTGTAGCCTGCAGGCTCCTCTGTCCATGGAATTCTCCAGGCAAGAATACTGGAGTGGATGTGCCTTTCCCTTCTCCAGCAGATCTTCTTGACCCAAGGATCAAACCCAGGTCTCCTGCATTGCAGGTGGATTCTTTACTGAGCCACCAGGGAACCCCTCCAGTTATAATAAGTAAAAGTGAAGTGAAAGTTACTAAGTCGTGTCCAACTCTTTGTGACCCCATGGACTATACAGTCCATGGAATTCTCCAGGCCAGAATACTGGAGTGGGTAGCCTTTCCCTTCTCCAGGGGATCTTCCCAACCCAGGGATCAAACCCAGGTTTGCCGCATTGCAGGCGGATTCTTTACCACCTGAGCCACAAGGGAAGCCCAAGAATACTGGTGTGGGTAGCCTATCCCTTCTCCAGGGGATCTTCCTGATCCAGGAATTGAACTGGGGTCTCCTGCATTGTAGGCGGATTCTTTATCAACTGAGCTAGGAGGGAAGCCCTCCAGTTATAAGAAGCAGCATTTAAAAACTCTGTTTAATACTTAAAAATATTTTACTGGTGTTTATACAAAGAAAACAAAAATATTTGATATATGTTTTTATTTCTGTGCATTGTTTTAATGACATTTATTAATAGCAGTTGCTGTCCTTTCTTCTGGAAACTAATAATGTAATATTGCATGTTATTCTGTTCTAGGGAGCTCGTGTTGGTAGAATAGATGCTTTCGTTCAGAGCTTGGACAAAAATTTTATGGTTCCAGTAGGTGGTGCTATAATTGCTGGCTTTAATGATTCCTTCATTCAGGAAATCAGCAAGATGTATCCAGGTAAATAAATCAGTTGGTCTTCAAAAAAAGTAACTAACAAAAATCCATTTGTATATAGGCTACTGTAATAAATGTTACTTTACAAAGCTTTTTCTCCCTAATGTAACATATCATTCTTATTTCAGGAAGAGCTTCAGCTTCACCTTCTTTAGATGTCCTTATTACTTTATTATCACTTGGATCAAATGGCTACAGGAAGCTATTAAAAGAAAGAAAGGTGAGCTTTCCCTGTAGGTATAAAATAATATCCTTGACTAAAACAGTACTCCAGAGTATTGGTGTGTCTGTCTATTGGTTTATCACTTTGGGATATAGATACCTAGCACAGTCCTAGGGGATTGATTTTGTTTTGATTTTCAATTAATCATTGTTATCCCATCTATTCAGATATCCTGGGAATCTTGGAAAAGTGATTTTGTTTTTGTGTTTGTTTTTTTGAGCAAGTCCTGTATCAGGGATTCTATTTGGTAAAATGTAATTCATTTATCACTTATAGGTAAATAGAGGCTCTTAAAAGACAGATGGACAAGTTTTTTCTTTTTAATTTTGGAAGACTTGTTTAGATGTGACATGTCATTTGCAGGAGGAAAAATACAGGTCAGAAATTGGCCAGCTTCTCTTTCTAAGTAATAAATCCATCCCTTGCTGTTATTGGAATGCTGAACTCATTGATTATGTTGATTATGAAAAGTGACATTTGTGCTTGAAAACTGGACTTTGTCTTCAACACTAAAAGCTAGCTTAATTCAGGGCAGCTTCAAAATTGTAGTCAGAGAGTGTTGCTAGGGTACGTCAGATTAAGATGTTTTATTCCTCTCCAATCTGGGAGGGCTAGAGGTTCCTAGTATCGTTTTTGTATCTATAACTTTCTAATACTTAGTAGCAGTTACAATCTGTAAGATTTGTAATATTAATTTACATATTTTAAAATATTTTCATGTATATCATCTGATAGATCCTCTCAACAAACAGCCTTATGAATATCTAACAGAAATTTAAAACTTTCTGTGCCCTATTTTACCCTAATCCCTTTCTTCCCACTAATTCAACCCATAGGAAAGTAATTGCTTACTTTTTATTGTTAGGACATCTCTTAAGATTTACATGATATAGGAAAAGATGGTCAACCTCAGTCTTTAGGGAAATACAAATTAAAGTGAGATATCACTAATATAAAAAACAAAAACTAATAGAAAAAGCTAATCAGCAACTTTGATAACACTTTGGCAGTTTCTTTTATACTTACCACAAAACTAGCTGTCCCACTCTTAGCTATTTATTCAAGAGAAATGAAAATTTGTATGTGTACAAAAACTTACATGTGAATGTTCATGGTGATTTTATTCATAATTGCCAAAACCTGAAAGTAACTCAAATGTCCATCATCTGGGGTATAAACAAATTGGTACATACATACTCTGCAATAAAAAGGAACCAACTACTGATATATGCAGCAGCATAATAACTCTCAAATGCATTATGCTAAATGAAATAAGCCAGACTTGAAAGGCTACATATTGTATGGTTTTATTTACATGCCATCCTGTAAAAGGCAAAAAGATATCAGGACAGAAAAGAGATGAGTGGATGCTAGAGGCCTGGGTTGGGGAGGGGATTATTAGTGGTAGTGAAATGTTTTGTATCCTGATAATGGGAGTAGTTCCATGACTGTATGTTTTTCAAAATTCACAGAAGGGGACACCTGAAATTTTACTCTGTGTAAATTATGCCTCAATAGACCTGAAAATAAATTCTAGATGATTAGACTAAAACTCCAGTTTAATGAACTCCAAGAAATAATCATCTTGTTGTAGAGAAAGAAAACCTCAGCAGAATCTTTCAAGGCTCCTTCCCTGTAGGACAGATGGAGACTGTTGACTGAGGAAAACCATCACCTGTTTATGTGAAAGTTTAGTTGTATCAGACACTGGTGGGTCTTAGCTCTCCTGTCCCTAGTTGTTTCACTATGGCACTTGAACTCACAAATTTTATTTCCTTGTTTGTGAAAGAAACAATTGATATCTCAGGCCACTTGTAGTTCTAAAAGATTATAGAATATTTCTTAAAATAAAATAGCTGCTTTCTGAGCCTTGGGTATTATAATCATGGGAATTGGTCTGTAATTTAGTAATCTAGCACAAGTCATACGGGTAGTTTATATCAAGCCTTTTTTGAGTTTGAAATTTTTAAGATGATCTCTTCAGTCTCATGGTATCTCATATCCATTTCTACCCCTTTTAAGCCATCTTGACCCATCCCCCCCCCAATCTGAACACTGACAAGTTCATTTAAAATAGCGTGGTCTAAAGTATGGACCAGTGTTTCTATGAAATAGAAATGAATAGTAGAGAACTTTGATTGTAGGATAAGTTTCATTGAGTAATTAATTTACTAAGTATATATTGAGTATATATTATGTGTCAAGCCTATAATATTGATATGCTGCTGCTGCTAAGTTGCTTCAGTCGTGTCCGACTCTGTGCGACCCCATAGACAGCAGCCCACCAGGTTCCCCCATCCCTGGGATTCTCCAGGCAAGAACACTGGAGTGGGCTGCCATTTCCTTCTCCAATGCATGAAAATGAAAAGTGAAAGTGAAGTCGCTCTGTCGTGTCTGACTCCTTGCGACCCCATGGACTGCAGCCTACCAGGCTCCTCCGTCCATGGGATTTTTCAGGCAAGAGTACTGGAGTGGGGTGCCATTGCCTTCTCCAATAATATTGATATAGTAACCAATAAGATACCTGCTCTGGTGGAGCTTACATTTTGTATGAAGGATACCAGCAATAAACAAATAACACAAAATATAAATTACAAAGTTTGTTTAATACATAAATTTTAAAGGTGAAAGCACTGTGGAAAAGAAAAACAGAGTAAAATAAGGGGGGTTAGGGTTGATGTGAGGGGGGAGATGGTGAGAACTGATTTTTAAAATACAGTGGTTAGTGCAGGCCTCATTGAGAACATGACTTCTGAGTTGACTTGAAGAAGTTTGAGGGAGTATACTCCCTCAAGTGTATGATAGAGAAGAGTATTTCAGGCAAAGAACCAGTACTAGAAATTAGGGCAGAAGACCAGGAGCTGACTGTGGCTCAGATCATGATCTCCTTGTTGCCAAACTCAGACTTAAATTGAAGAAAGTAGGGAAAACCACTGGACCATTCAGGTATGACCTAAATCAAATCCCTTACAATTATACAGTGGAAGCGAGAAACAGATTTAAGGGACTAGATCTGATAGACAGAGTACCTGATGAACTATGGATGGAGGTTCATGACATTATATAGGAGACAGTGATCAAGACCATCCCCAAGAAAAAAAAAATGCAAAAAAAGCAAAATGGCTGTCTGAGGAGGCCTTACAAATAGCTGTGAAAAGAAGAGAAGTGAAAGGCAAAGGAAAAAAGCAAAGATATACTCATTTGAATGCAGAGTTCTAAAGAATAGCAAGGAGAGATAAGAAANATCTAGTAAGTTAAATATTTCTCTGAGTTCTGTGAGTCGCCCTAGCAAATTATTTGAACATGAGGATGGGAATGTCTGATGTATAGCCAGTCAGTTGGAAGCAGAAGTAGCTGGGCTTGGGATTAGTGTCTGAGGTAGAGGCTGGTCTTGTGGGACTGAGCCCTTTACTGGTGGAATCTGATTCTGTCTCTGGAATAGACAGTGTTAGAATTGAGTTGAGTTGAATTCTTGAACACCTTGGCGGTGTCTGAGAATTGCTTGTTCGCGTGGAGAAGCCTACGCACACATGCGTGTGTGTGCACACACAGAACTGGGTCCAGGAACCCAGGAGAGTAATACACACCTCTAAGGCATGTATTCATTAGGGTGATGCTTGCTGTTATAATAAAAACCCTACAGATATTGATGATTTATTAAAAACTTCTAGCTTACATGGCAGTTGAGTGTGGGTGTTCTATGTTAACGCAAATTCTTTTGCCCCATTCACAGTGAGACCAAACAAACTCAAATGTCAGAGTTTGAAGCAGAGAAAAGTTTGTTGCAAGGTCACACAAGGCCCAAGCACCCTGAAGGGTTGTGGCAAAGCACTTTTAAAAGCCAGATGAAGGAGGGGGATTTGCAGGATATAGGATCAGAATTGTGTACAGTTCTCTGGCTGATGGTGAGATAGCAGGGTAGTGTCACCGGGTTAAAGTTATCAGTCATCATGCTCCAGGAGGCCTGGGGCTGTGTGCTCTTGGTTGTGAAGTAGTTAACATGTTTTGTTTGTCAAAGAGGTGGAGGATTTTACATCTGAAAACAGCTCAGGAAAAGTACATCAAATACTATTCTCTAGTATTTCAGAGTCCCTTGGACTGATAGGGAAATCAATCCTGAATATTCATTGGAAGAATTGATGCTGAAGTTGAAGCTCCAATAATTTGGCCACCTAATGCGAAGAACTGACTCATTAGAAAAAGACTCTGATGATGGGAAAGATTGAAGGCAGGAGGAGAAGGGGATGGCAGAGGATGAGATGGTTGGATGGCATCACTGACTCAATGGACATGAGTTTGAGTAAACTCTGGGAGCTGGTGATGGACAGGGAGGCCTGGCATGCTGCAGTCCATGGGGTCCCAAAGAGTCAGACACGACTGAGTGACTGAACTGAACAGTGCATTTGAGAAGCAGAGAAGATGCCAGTGTGGTTAGGGCAAAGAGATTAAGAAGAGTTGTGAGAATTGAGGTTAGGATGGTAATGGGGGTGGTGCTGGTCAAGTAGGGCTTTCTAGGCCATGTAAGGTCTTTACCCTGTATTCTGAGTAAAATAGCCATTAGAGGATTTTGAATAGAGAAGTATTGCTTGTTTTATAACTCTCATCAGACTTGTAATTATTTATTTGGCATGTAGATTTCCCCTGCAGTGTAAGTGCAGAGTCTTAACCGCTGGACCACCAGAGAGTCCCTAGTCACTATTTTTAACAGACTTCCCTGATAAATCTGATACACACCCAAGCTTAAAACCCATTATTTGGGGGCACACAGGTCATTTGTATCTATAATGGAAGCTTGGAACAGAAACTTGCAATGTCATAGTGTTGTAGTTCTTATGAAAGTAAAAAGTGAAAGAACACTTGGGAACACGTAAGTCCACTCTTCAGTTTTGTTTTACACAGAATAAATATCTTTCTATAAAATTAGGCAGAAAACAAATAACAATCTTGGTACTGACATCTCTTATGACTTAGCTGTTCTTATAGAGACATTTCTCTGT